TTTCAGTTCATATTTTGGGGTATTGTTATAGATTAAAAAACATCGGCTCTTTCGGGTCATCCATGCGGACCAGCGCACAGAAATGAGCTACCAAAATTACAAAAATACCAGTTGTATTGAATCAAGAAGGAAAGGAGACGATAAAACAGCAGTTGAACTAGGAAAAGGAGAAAAAGTGTATCAAAAATGCATAAAATTGTTAAAAAACAACTTACAGAGAATTGGCCAGGCTTCGCATTCATCATCCTCGTCTTCATTACATCCAGCGGCTGAGTTAAAACAGTCGCAATTGAGGCCTGTAAAAAACTATGGATTGTCTATCCAGTTTTCAGATCTTCTATCGGTAAGATTTTGATTAGATTTTTAATAGTCATCACCGGTTAGCAAAACAGTTCTGGCAGATGCCGGCTAGTAATTGTACTGCCTCAGAACAGCTAGATCAAAAGAATTCAGACAGCTCTTTGTCCTCTGCGGAAACCTCGTTTAAAAGACTGCTCGCTAATCTTTGGATACCCTGGCCTTCTGTCGATCAAAAGTAGCAGAAACCACTGATCTGGTTTTTTTTTTTGGCTGCAGTAAACTGATGATTTCAGAACTAAATTCAAAATTCCAGACTATCAGAAATGTTACAAACAAATTGCGCTTAGAAACTGCAAATCTGATGACACTTTCCTGAGTTCCCATAGAGTACCAGTGGTTGCCGATCTTCAAAGTTGTATAAACTGTAGAGGGGCGAGACATGAATTTAACATTTCATGATATCTCAATTCTTAGTCATTAGGCATGAACTCAGAAAAAGAATTTTCGACGTGATCCACACATTACTCGGTAATCCACAGATGCAGTTCAGAACCAAACAGTGGTTGCTGCACAGAGGTTATAATTACTCTAACTTTTTTGCCTTCCAACATTTCAGTTTCAGAACATCTCAAGAACAAAATAACGCTTATCTTCATCAGGAAAAGTTCAAAAGCACTCACCGCAAGAAATGAGGAAGAGAAGTGAGTAGTTGGTGTATCTTTCATATAGCCGCTGCTAATAAGCGTTTGTTTAATTTGGTCGTAAAATGACAATTGCCCAATGGTCATGAAAACGGCTCTTGAGGTGGCCATTGCTGCTCCGTTAAAAAGTTTGGTTAAACCTTCTTCGCGAACCACTCGGAGCACGCCATCTAGAGCATGCTTGTAATTGCGTCTTTCAGCCGGCGGTAACTAAATTTCTTTGATTAAATATCACTGATAACCAAAGTCGCCCAAATTGATGGCCTGAGGCCAGCAGCTACCTGTAAAAAAATTATCAGGATCGCACCATATATAAAGTCTTAACCCCTAGCAGAATTTCACTATATATAAATATCTCTCGACCACACGTGCAAAATTTTACTGTATATTAATGATCGCTAGGA